TGTAGGGCGAGAAGGTCTGCCTCTGAGCCAGCAACGACGACGGCTTCTGGATACGTACCTCAGTTCCATCAAGGACAGCCCTCGTGTTAGAAAACTTGTGGAAGGCATTAGGGAGGTTGGGCTGAATCTCAGCAACTGTCGGAAACTGTAACAGTACCCTTAACTGTCGCTGGAGAAACTTGATCCACGTAACAAACACCTTGCTTACCTGCCCTTCAGAAATGTTGAAGTTGCGGGCCAGTTTCTTGCCTGCCATCCCTGTCCTTAACCGCACGAGGACCATAAAAAACTCATCAATCAGAGACATTTCCCGTGTGCGGTCTTTGGTCTCACCAGTTGTCTTTCTGTTACCTAACCAGTAGTTCATCTTGGCTGCCCGAAGCTCAAGAAAATTAAACAAATTCTGAAAAACTGAAAACTCAGGCAGCCCAGTATAATATAAACAGTTCTTAGGCTCCTGGATAGTGTTGAGACTAAGCTGCCTGGCTTGCAGGTGGCAAACCTGCCTTTCGAGACGTTGTTTGTCTGCTTGCAGATCAAGAATGACCTGCTGCATTTTGGCCATCTGCAGGTCACGCAGCTTGGACACCTCAGGATTCCCAGCCATCATGATTAGCCCGACAGCGGCATCCTTCTCCATTTCTGTAAAGGAAGCACAGATAGATACATGAATCTTATGCTGAGTGATGTTGCCCTATTCCTCATTAGTAGATTTTCGGGAACCACATACAGCTCTTTGCAATTAGTCCTACTCTACTGAATTTAGATAAATAATCAGGTTACGTCTTTCCCTAGTTTGCTGCAAATTATGTGGCATAAATAATCTAATTTTTCCATGACACCAAAGATATGAGGTGAGGCAAGGAAAATAATGAAGAATAATGTGCCTCAGTCTGATCCAGCATTGGCATTGTAACCAATGTATTTCTTTTTTCTTTTTGTAAATAAAAATCTACTAGCAAAACCATTGCCAAGGGGCCTAGCCAGATCAGCGGCTTTTATTGAATCCTAGTTGAATCACCCCCTCCTTCTTGCCCTCTTCTTTCTTGATTTACAATAATTGATTTGGTGTTGCTTGCTTTACAAATCGGTGTGGTGTTCCTTGTCTTTTGAGAACACCAAGTAATGAACTCAACTTTCTTCTTTAAGTTTCTCATTCCCTTACTTAGCCCTAAGGCATAGCAGAATAAGCCCGCCATGTTTTCCCTTTCCTTAGTTAAACAGTAAAACAAAAACAATGCTTCTCTTCAGTTCATCCCATTCTGCAGTGAGGCACCGCAGTACTTTCAACTTCCAGCAAGTGTGACGGAAGCATGTAGTAGCAAATGTACCAATCACGCTTGTGCATGGGTGCATATCTGCCTTTGCATCTGGTGCTTCAATGTAGGGTGGTGGAGGAGGGTTTGCCCTTGCCTCGACCCTACAGGTAAAGTCGGATGACACATGTGCAGTGGGTCTACTAATGTTTGCTAGGCTTGTTCAATTCACAGGTAATACACTGCACATTATGTGTCATCTGAATTTACTTGTAACCTCAAAGTACACTAAATTTTTGCTGGTGCCAAATGGAGGGCAAAGCATGCCAACACTATACCTGACCCTCGCAATGACTAACTGGCAATAGTATGAGCAGGAGTGGGTAGCTTTAACTGGTACCCCTGTGGAGAGCTTCTATGCATGTTTGCAAGTCCGGCTTCAGGGCACTGTCATCCTGCTCGGTTGAGGTGCGCTTGGACGCGTCATAATCTGATTATGGCCACATCCAAGCGCACCCCACTGGGCAAGATGGTGGCTCCCTAAGACCGGACTTGCAAACGCGTAATTTCGTGATGAAATGCAGGGGGCTCATACATACGTCATGCATTCACTCCATGTCAGCTGCGTGACTTATGTACTGCAGCTGAAACGTTGTCATCTACACCATCCAGTAGCAGATTGCACAGGTGTACAGCATCAAGCTCATAATTGGGAGCTAGTGTAGACTGGTGCATATACTGTATCTTCTTTAATTAATCCTGCACATACACAGTCATTCTTTGTTATAAGACTTACATAATTTTACTGAGATAACAGGAAGGGGGGTGGGGGGGGGGGTAGTCGAAAGAAATGTTATCGCATTTAACAAATAAAGAAAGCAAACTTCTTTCCGATGTCCTAAGCAGAGTTAAGCTATTTCCTTAGTTCAAAAATGTATATGAAGGGCTGTAATAATCTAAATAATTAATTTCCTTCACGGTATCACAGCAACCACCTAGTACACATGCAGGTGTGTAGCAGCAGCTCATAGTCCCATGAGTCAATATTTGTTGTGATGGCACAGCTGCCTATGATCCAATCTTTTTGGGAATCCTAATTTATTTTGCAGTGCCTTTGTAGACCTCGAGGTCTGAACACTCCAGCCAAACAATTAAATTAACACCTTTTATGGAGTCTTGAGTGCATGGGTCTTCCACCGCCTCTTCAGGCATCTCCAAAGAGACGTCACTTGCCAGCTGTGCAGCTACCTGCTGCACACAGGTGGAGACAGCACCACTCCTTGGGGCTGGATTGTTGTTCAAGAAGGACACAAAATTTTAGTGACAAAACAAGCAAGGCTGGGACTGTTTGCTCGAAGCACTAACCGCGGCTAAAGTTAGCCGCAGTAACTAGGAGAGGGATTTTTAAATCACGTGACTGGCTCGGTAGGGATGCGGGGAAACATGACGGTGCCCCGGTGAATGAGCGCTGCTCGCTTTGAAACTAATATGTTGTTGAAGCTGCAATATCAGGCGCATTAGTCAGCAACGAATGGTGCAGGAGGCTTTTGCTTTGCCTTACCTCACTTAAATCGCAAAGCATGAGCAATGACCTCGCCGCATTTTTTTAGATAGTCTTGATTTTGGCCTTCCTAAGCCTAAATGAACGCGGTAATTGTCGAGATGGTAGCGTCTTTGGAAAGTGGGTTGCCTTGACTCAATCGGCCGGGTATTGATAGCACACAAAAGCAGACTGCATTCCAATAGACCTTTTTCTAAATTGCCCAAGCATCGAGAACGCTGGGAGTGTAATTCTGCGGCCTGCGCGCGGACCATAGATTCCAAGTAAATAATCATAATAAGGCTTTGACGAACGCGCGTGCAAGGCAAAATTTGTTTTCGACTTTTTGCTTTAGAACAATTACTACTGCAGACGCCAGCACGTGCAATGCATGTAACTACACTCGTAGCATGGACCTCGCGCTTGGGAAATTTAGAAAAAGGTCTATTGAGGTGCTGTCTGCTTTTGTATGCTATCAATACCCGGCCGATTGAGACAAGGCAATCCACCTTACAAAGACGTTGCCGTGCCGACAATTATCGCGTTCATTTAGGCTAGGGAATGGCCAGAATCGAAAGACTATCTAAATAATGTGGCGAGGTCATTGCTCATGCTTTACAATTTAAGTGAGGTAAGGCAAACTGAAAGCCTCCTGCACCATTAGTTGCTGACTAACACGCCCGATATTGCAGCTACAACGATATATTATTTCCAAAGCGAGCGGCGCTTACTCACTGGGGTGCCGCCATGTTTCCCCGCATTCCTACCGAGCCAGTCACGGGATTTCAAAATCCCTCTCCTAGGTACTGCGGCTAACTTTAGCCGCGGCTAGCGCTTTGAGCAAACGGGCCCTGGAGTATGATTAGAGCAACTTGCTATAATCATATCAGACAAAGGCAATGGGCCAGCTGACAAGTCAAAAGACAAAAACTGAAGTCGTGGTCACACGCAGGTTTCTTGAACCAATGAGCGTAGATGAAAAAAGGCCCGTTCACGCATCTGCATTTGGGGCAGCCAGAACATTTACAAACTCCAACAATGTTGCAACGACGAGCTGTCATAGCAACGGAGCACCAAGCACCCGGTCGTTTCTAACGGAGCAAGTAGGATCGGGTCAAACTTCTATGCTGCGTCTCGAGCGACTGGAACGATCGAAAGAAGCGACCAATCACGTTTCAAGAAGAGAGCTGTCACGTGTATGCCCGGCGGCCGCGACCCGCTGGCAAGCACTTTGCCAGAGATCAACGTTGGCGTGGCATGGCAGACTGAGTGAAAATTCATTGTGCATGTGCAGTGCTACCGTGGTTGCAGCGGTCTAGACGCATGTCCCGATGGTGTACCAACACGTCCTCGAAGAGACGAGCTATTTAGTGCAACGACAACATGACAGCACTTGGAAGGGAAACATTCTTGCCTACGTGTTTGCTCGTGCCCGTCTGCACTATTGGTGCATAGCATTTTAGAGAAGCAATTATTTTACTTTTCTACTTCAGGGATGTGAAATGATTAGTGCTAGCATTCTTGAATGTTTACTTCACTCATGCAATGTCTAAATCGTTTCTCTTTTGAAGTGTGTCGCAACTACATCTGCTTTCACCTCAAGAGAAAAGCGAGTCTTGCGCATTGTTCATACGCAGGGCAAAGTAGTTCTTACAAGATTTAGTTATCAGAGAAAAAAGCAACGCTTTTGGAGTTTGTACGTCTTGATAAGATAACATACATCTAACCTAGAATGCACCTACATATATCTTAATTCTCTACATAAAGGTGGAAATCAGTAATGCTCCACAAGGCGGCGAACTTTTTTTTACTACGGTTCTTGATGTGAAAACAGGTATAAAATTATATCTGTTCCTAAAAAAAATTGTAGAAGTAGAATGTGGCTAGATTTGTGTCCTCCGCATGGTCTGGTGCTCTGTCGGCATCATCTCAGGATGGTGTGTCACCTAACATTCTTTCCCTGGGTCCTGCGAACACTATCTCAAGAAAACAAGACAAGGGAATAAGCCCCGCATCTAATAATAATAATTTAGTAGCAATGACTGAGTTAGTAGTCGATCCTTACCTTCGGGCAGTGGCTCTACGTTCGAAATACCCGTTGAGATTGAGCACGGGAATGGGTTACCGCCGGAACCTTCTGGGAGGGGGTCGGCAACTGGGAGCTCCTTAGCAAGGGCCAAGGAGGGTACTGCTGCTGCAGAAGGCTGGGCTGCTGGCTGTGATGCTCCCTGCTGCACGCACGCAGAACCAGCACTTCGTACTGGTTCGTTGTTTGAAGATGACATACAATATCAGAGGCGAAACAAGTAAAGCTAGAGTGTGATTATGGTGATTTGCCCACATTCTCAGTTTGGTACAGGCCACTTGGACTTACTGGAAAATGAAACGCGCAAGGTTATGCTTGTTTGAGGTTGACGAGCAAGGACACACACAAACCAGAAGATGCTGTTTAATACTACTAGCTCGCGATTAGATGGGTTCGTCATGTAAAATGGCTACTTGGTGCACTGACTGTTATACAGGCAGATTTCGCGCTTCCATATGCGCACGATTATAAAGACCAGTCAATACCGATCAACCGTCGTCAGGCAGAGGAGTTAATAAGCGCGAACACAACACAAACGTCGGCGGGCATACATTTCCAAGAACTGGCATTAGAAAAGATCGCTCCAGAAGCGATGAACGCGCGCATCCTTTTTACGAGACGCACGTCTTTTTTCTTGTCTTGTTCAGACGGCGAATTCATAACGCGAGTAAAATTCCACAGCGTGAACGCGCCTTTATGACCATCGTCACTTCGTACCTTCAGTGGACCCGCGATGTTTCCATCGCTCGTAGCGATCGAGAGATGGCTGCTGTTTCCGGTGAGCAAAGATAGTCGGCACATGGTCCGGGTGGTGCCTATCCAGCGACGGTTTTCCTGTTTGATAGAGCGGCAATGTAACGATCATGCAACTACCCAACGCTTTGTGTTTGTTTTTCTCAGCTGCGATTGAAGCGACTTACCAGTGACGAAGTGCGCCCCACATAATCGGGACTGCTGGCTCGGCTCCCAAGCCTTCCTCGGGTCTGTCGGGTGAGCCCGCTTCACCGCGTTTACCCACGCCGCTCTTCGATTTGGGTCGAATTTCGCAGAGGGAAAGCAAAAGAAGCTCTTCCCCTCCCCCTTCCGATGCCAGTTTCGACACCCAAACGCGACACAGTGCGTCGGCATCGTATCGAACGACGTCGGGACGGTGCCGGGAGCCTCAGACTAGCGCAAGATGGAGACTTTGTTTTCCTACGCCACTAATCCGGCCTGGCAACATGTGCCTCGGGTTACCCTCGAACCGGAAACTCGGAAAGTGGTGGATTCTTCGTCCGTGATAGCCAGCACACCGACAGTCGCTTGGTTAGCCGGCTGCCTAGAATGCCCTAGAACAAAACAACAGTAGACCTGTTTATACAGGTCCACTGTCGTGTATGTTTATACATGTCCACTGCTCATATATTTATACAGCGGGAAGTTCATTAGCCTTAATGGGCGTCTGGAGTCTCTGCTAGAGAAAAGAAATTTAGCCAGTAAAGTACCACTGCTACCCGGGCGTGTTTTAACGTTCAGCTATACACGACCGGACGCCAGTAGGGCGGTCATCCAGATGAAAAAGGGCGGGGGTGGAGATTCAACCCAGGATCCCCGGGGTCTACATCGCGCCTTTGCTCCACTTGCTTCGAGCTGCGTTAAGCGCTAACACATCCGAGCACCTTCGAGTCCCAGTCGAGCGTGGACGCCGTAGTAAGGTAGATAGTTGAGCAGTTGACCTAGTTGGTAGTTGTTGTACAGGATTAGGGGAGGAACAGCGCTATAAGACAAGGACAAAGAGAAGAAACATAGTCTACTGGACAGCGCCTGTCCAGTCGTAAATATTTCTTTTCTTTGTGCTTGTCTTATAGCTCCGTTTTTTTTTTCTCATTATCGTGTAGAACGTTGACACCACTCGTTTCAATCCCTACCCCGCGCAGGCCTCCGATGGGTGACGTCAAGAATCTCGCACTCAGGCCTCGTTGCCTAGGAGACCCGTGATAATTCCTGCCGCCGTTTAGCAGAGTTGATGCGGGAGAACCCAGACAGGTTCTGACTTCTGAGCCGGCCACAAAAACAAATCGCGGGTTGTTTACGGAACAACGAAACCTATTTGACTCTCAGGTTCGGATTGCTCGTCTACGCACGAGCAAAGTTGATTAAATGACTTATAAAAAACGAAACAAAATGCTTATTTTCTTTATTGCTGTCGTTGTAAAGAAGTTCCACCGGAAATGGTTTACTTCGTGCTGCTTTGGTTTCCTGGTTTCGCTTTATCTGGCCAAGGGATTGTCGTGCTGCAGTAAAATTGAGTGCGCTTGGCGAAGCGTAAACGTTACCGTTTTACGCTCGTAAAAGTGTGTCAGACTGCAGGGGATGATGTTTCAGCTATATCCTCACTTTTCTTCCGGAATACATCGTTCTAAAAGAAACTGGTGCTTCTTTCATAACTTCGTTTCTTATTTATTCAATACTGCCAGCTGGTTTTTGGCAGCCAGGGCAGGAGTGGTTACATGCAGTTTTTTTTAATACATGTGACGTATCTTGACATGAACAAAAGCATCAGAAAGAGAAACCAATAAGGCATATGGTACATACACTTGGTAGTATGGGTGAAAAAGAAAACTGTTACACTCGGGAGTGAAGAAAACAACTATAAGACCAAACAAAGTTTTTAGCATGGGACATAAACAAAAGCCGCCATAATCGCCAGTAAAATATGATAAAAATAACGGCGCGTTGCTGTGAACTTCTAGAAGAGATAATGAAAAATACAAGCAAAATAAACACACGTCATTCACAAGTAGGTACAAATCGAAGATACAAAAGCATTCTGGGATGTTGTACCGACAACGTCACGCGAAAGATCGTTCCATTCAGTTATCGTTCTCGAGGGAAACAAAAAAACGATATGCGTTTGTTTTGCATTGAGGCATCAGTATTGTTTTGTTGTGTTTATTCCGAGTCGGTCGCGCTGTGTTAAACTGCATATAGTCTGGAAAGTTCAGTCCTGTCTGGTTAAAAAGCTATGCTAAAAAGGAGCTGTAGTCGTTGAAGATAGCGGTGGGGAATATTAATGTAGGGAGCCCAGTACAATTCAGAAGTTCATTGAACGAGACGTTTTTACTATAGGCGTGATAAATGAATCGAAGCGCCTTCATTCGTACCCGTTCGATGCATTCGGTATCGGTTTTTGTGTGGGGTCCCAGAAAACACAACCGTATTTTAGTAGCGGTCTTGCAAGGGATCTGTAGGCTACCAACTTTGTTTTGCTAGTGCCATGTTGAAGCCGGTGTCAGAACCGCAATAACCTTTTTGTAGCCGTCGAGACAATGCTAGTAATCTGCTTCTTCCAACTTATATTAGAAGTTATAATAGACCGATCTCACCAGCCAGTTTGACTTAGATTGACTACGCCACCGCTGCCGTAATGCATCGAGGGAGCTTTAGTCTTTCTGCACATGCGACAACCTCGCTGGAGCTCTGCGCGTGTGGAGCATGAGGCGGCACGAGCCGTATTGTGCACTGCTGCCTGCCTCCTGCGAACTAAAGTTATGCTGGCGTCACGCATGCGCCGAACGCTTGGTGAGATCGGTCTATTATTCTTAGGTCTTAAACAGCGTAAGTAGGCTAATCTCAATGTTATTAATTTTATATCTGTACCTGAGCATTCTTTTTTTCGTGTAATAGTCATATGTGTGCACTTAGCGGTATTTAAACTCATTCGCCAAGATTCACACCCTCCGGAAACGGCTGCTAGGAAATCGTTTAGAGTTACCGGGTCGCCTGTTCCCTAGATATTTAAACGCACAATGCAATCGTCTGCAAAAAAAAAAAAAAAAAAAAAAAAGCGGCAGTGAGCAGGTGAGTTGCTTGAGAGTTTTCAAGAAAGACTCGCTGACGAAGGCGATGGACTCGCTCATTGCGCACGCCAGTGTGATTTTGCGATGCAATCTAGTCACAATGTCGCATCGCTCGACTGCTAACCTCACCGGTGTGAATGCGCTTTTGAAGCGGGATGGGGTAGGAGGTTTTCTCTTTCTGGGGTCGTTGGTGTGTCGCGTCCGTCGTTAATTTGAGGTTATGATAAAATATTAGAAAATCTCAAAAGATTGTTGTTGTTTTTTTCGCAGGACAGGAGCCGATCAGGCATTCAATGGCGGCACCGGCCAACCGGCGAGCTTAATTCTCAACGTCGTTGATATTTGTAAAACTCAGTGTTAAACCCTCATTTTTAGAATCAATGATTCTTTTTTAATTTAACGAGGTTCAATAAACATTTTTGCAAAACATCACGTTATCTTGAAATACCGAATATAAATGTCTGAGCTACTTATTCGTGTGCTTCACAAATATTAATAGTAGTATATTACGGAATAAGGTCATGAAATTGTTACCGGCAGCGAGACTAGGAATTATATTGTTGTTTTGGCATTTTCTTTGCGTGTGATCAGGCATTTCTAAAAGTCACATCGTTCAATAGGCGAGTTAGATGGCTCAATTTTGCATTATTTGAAGTTGATTTAATATATTTCTTTCGTGATGCGTCAACGTTGCTGGCTGATTTCGTCGAGGGTGCTGGATGCCCGCTACCTTGGACTCACCTCGTGACAGTTCTTAGCACTGTTTACTGCAGGTAAGCGGAGTCAGATATTTTATTTTGATCCTCTTGTTCGCATTTGGGCACTTGAAACGAGGCTCTTGATTTTTATATTTTCTTTGTGTTTGTGGTGTTCGTTCATTTTCCAGAGATAATTGAGGGTATACTTCGAGTAAATAAATTAGAGTAAGACACACAATGCGCTTGAGTGTGTTTTTTTCGGTGTGTTTTTGTTTAGTGTTTTTGTTTTTGTGTGCTGTTTTCCTCATGTCTAAATAAAACATACATTCAATTTTAATCTGGCGAAGCACTTTGGCAAGACTATTTACACATTTGCCGAAGTTCGTCAGTTAGAGTTGGCGGTCATGGGAGTCTGCTGTGGTGCTGAGTAGCTAATGTGGTGTAGCGCTCCGTGGTGTATGTCTTCCTCCGTCCTTGTCTTAAAGCGTAGTCATGTTGTTTTTTTCACGTGCAATACAAACTCGCCCAACAATCAGCACTTGCCAATACTAGGCTGCTACAGTAGTTGTACCCCTTTGAATAAGATCTGCTAGTCACCTAAGTAAATCGGGGGACAAATTTAAACATGACCAGTGAATACAAAGTGCTTACTAATCTATGATTATTACCCGCCATGTGATAATTTTAGTCAACGGTGGTTAGTCAGCAGTTAAACTGGTCACGTCTGGTAAGTATGGTTGATGCTTTTCAATGGCGGAATCAGTGGCCCGTCAAATGCTCCAAATGCGTCTTAGAAAAATCTAATATTTTTCACAGTTTCTTTAAATTGGGGATGATAGGTGACAATTTCATATCACACGATTTCCACATTTTTTTGTTTCCAGGCAGGCAGTGCAATCTACCTGGTGGCTGTCAGCTCAAGACTAATTAATCCTGAGGCGCCCAGCTATGTGGCACTGGAGGGAGACCTCGAAACCGCGTCGCCTGCTGAGGCAGTGCTGGTTGCATTCTGCCTCTACTTCATCTTTAACTTTGAGTACCATCACTAGTTGAGGTGCAGATTCATTGCATTGGAGAACTTTATTGCACTGAAACACTGAAATTTGGAGTCACCTACAACATATTGCATTCAAACCTAAAAAAAATGCCGAAAAGTCCTTTTTTATGGCTTTTTATGCAGGTTTAGCAATATGTTTTATGTCGTCTGTTTAATGTTTTTTTTTGTCTGACATAAGTCGGTATGGTTGATTCTGAGATTTACAGAAGGGTGATGATGTTGCTTTATAGTCCCTTTTTTTTTAATTTACAAAATCACTGCTTTTTGCTTTGTGCAGCATTGGCATACTTAATTTATTTCAGTCTACTTCATTATCGGTGCCTGAAAGCATTTGAGGGTTGTCGTTTTATATTAACCGAGATTTGTGCTTGCAAGGCTAAATACAAGTTGGCTTTTGATGGCCTGCAGGGTTTAAATACAAGATGGTCAAAACTGATATCTGCGATTAATATCAAGTGGGTTAGATCCCTTTGGCCCTCGCGGTAGTTTGTTGCAGCT